TTCTTAATCGGTGATACATGTAGGATTCAGCGTTGTTGCATAGTCATTTTGGTACAAATAAAATAAAAAATCCATCCACTACTCGCTAGTGTGATCTGCAATTATCCATCAGAGGTGCAGACTCTTTATTATGATCATGTTTCCGGCCACGTCAGCTCCCATTGGGCATTGGAAATCCGCCGACTTGTTTCCTTTATTAAGCATTTTTAAATTAATACTTTAAATTACAACATAATTATCTACGGGTGTTGTAGGTTATAACTATGGCTGACTCAAGCACAATAAATGTTCTTTAAAAAGCTGCTTAAGTACAAAGAAAAGTCTGGTATTTGTCTGAACAGGACTGACGTTGGTGCATATCTGAGCACGTGGGCCACAGGAACGTTGGCACAAAATTTAATTACTCTCACCTGAAGGCGTCTGGCACAGCGAAACAGAAGATTATGAGAAAGTGTTGATATTCGGCAAGATCTGAAGCATTTCCAGGTGATGTAATAATAGACTGTTATCATGTTCTTAAGTAATGAGACGGTTACGTGCCACTGGAGTGGACCCAAAAAAGGACTCAAAACAAGGACAAAAATGCAAAAGTAACAGGGTTTATTAACCAGGGTGGACAGGCGGTGAAGAGATGAGGAGCCAGCTGCCGGGATGCAGGAGTCTTCAATGGCGGGAACTAGGAGTACAAAAAAATGCAGGTAAGTATACAGCGAGCGAGGGAAAAATCAAAAACTGAGCCGACAGGGAAATCACCATCTGGTAGATGAAACAATCTGGCCGAGTCTGGCAGGAGAGCTGGGCTTTTGTAGCAGGCTTGATTGCAGATGGTGTTCAGGTGCTCCCAGCAGACTCCGCCCACGTCCACACCCAGAAGACTCAGGACAAGCAGGGGCGTGACAGAGACGTGTCTTAATATTTAAGAAAATGTTGAGCTGGATAAACCCATATCAGCATTGTGCATTGTACAAAAATAAATAAATCCAAAATATAATGATTAAAAAACTGAATAGGCTAGATTAGATTTACCGTATTTTCGGGGCTATTAGGCGCTCTGGATTATAAAACGCACTGTCATTAAATGGTCTATTTTCAAACTTTTTTCACAAATAAACCGCACCGGACTTTAAACGAAACACAACAGTTGGATGGTGAGTGGTTTTGTTTGTTTGTGGCGTTCACGGTGACTCTGGGCTTTGTTCAGTTGTGGCGTGTAGGGAGGGTGCTGTCTGGGACCGCTGGATTGTCGGCGTGTTTCGCAGTGACTCAGTTGTTCAGTTGTGGCTCAGAAAGGCACATTGCACTCGCTTTTTTGGTTTGTTCCCTCGTTCCGTTCCTCGTCCGTGTGGAGTGATGAGTGTGTCTGCGGGTGTGTTTCGCTGTGCGGTCGCTGTCTGCTCCGTGTGTGTTTGCGTGCACTGTGGGTGGTGCGGCTTTGTAGTTTACTGAAGTCGTGCTGAGACACCCGAGTGGATTCGTGTGTATGGGGCGGTCTGGCTTGCAGGGCGCGCAGTCGTTTTTTGATTGGGTTAGAGGCTAAGAGCGCGTCTAATAGCCCGGAAAAGACGGTATTTATTTGAATTAGCTCAGTTCGGCTTCAACTTTTTGGAGAGCTACATTTTGTCCATTGTTTTATTCAAACTCTTCAACACCAGACACATTACTTGACAGATATACAGGTTTATAATTCATTTGAGTACAGAGCTGATCTGGCACTGTGTGGATGCCTGAAAACGCTGATACGCTGATGTAGTTCTATGCACTGCGAAGTAGCTAATTCACCGCCGAAACGCTAAGAGGCTAGAATATATGTCCATTCATATATACGGTCTGTGTGTACGACCTGCAGACGTATAATCTCTGAAAAGTTTCACATCATTCATCTCCAACGCGATAGAAGCACAGAACAGACTCACCATCAGCAGAACACCCCTCTGTCACAGAAAGAACACTCATATTCCACTGAGTCGTGTCCTTTAATCCGACAGAAGCCGAACCGCATCAGTACACAATAGCGAGCTGATTTTTGAGCGCTCAGGTTATGCAAATGAGCCATGTGGTTTTAAGTTTAGTTTCTGTAAAACGTAAACACATATGCTCAAAGCTGTGCGGATAGGGAAGGATTGCGGACACAGAAACGACATGTGTGGACGCAGATCGTTTCCGATACGGTGATACGTGGATTTGTTTCAGTGTAAACGAGGTCTTAGTTACATGTTCATCTTGAGGCCAAACCAACCCATGATGCTCACGAGGGTCTGCCTGGTCACACCTCACCATGAGACCCTCCCCGTCCACTTTGTAATTACATAATGGTATACTAATGAGAGCTCAGGGGCTTTGGGGGAAGAGAGACTTGGGGAAACCTGTTTGAGATTCCAGAAGGTCTGTAGCCAGGACTTGGCTTCTTGGCTTGGGCCCTGTCTACCTGCTGTAACAAAGAATAAACCTTTTCGTATTTCATAACTCAACAAGGCTTCGCAAAGGGAAAGGGATCAAAAAGACCAAAAGTATCTGCTGAATTCCTGAGAGGGTTGTGGTCCTGTTGGGTTTGAGTCAATCTCAGGTGAAGCTGATCCCTGTGATCTGCTCTGAAGCGTCTGGGACTCATCCAATTGAACTGTGATCCGGGCCAAGTCGGGCGAAAGGCCAAAGGGTGGAGATATGTGGCCTTTACAAGATAGTATCCAAACTAATCAGGTAGGACTGCCCAGTAATTCACATTCTAGCGGTTGACCTATATAACTCTATGGACGATTTTCTGTTTTTGAAAGACTTATTCAAACGTATTATCACACAAATGTTGAACTTTGTCAGTATTTGTTTGGAATTAGCTATACAAACATTTCTAATCTTATGGCTTAAACTCCTTTCCGCTCACAGTGATCACGTTTTTGGGGTTGTACCAGGGCACTATTCTGAAAAGCTGTTGTGAGCAAATTAATTTCACGTTCACTTATTTACACAGACAGAGAAGACTTGAACTCGTGCCAGGTTTGTTTCATGTGAATAGACCCAGTGATTACCGATAATTACACAGATATTAACCATAAACCTTGTCTAACTAATCTGCAGTCGCCGATGCCAAGATGAGTCTGCGTAATGCCGTTGTTTAGCGATAAAGATGCACCGTGTAAGTTTTCCGGTGAGGCGTCCCAAACCTGGCTGCTGTTTCCATGGCGATGTTATTGGAAAAATCAGATGGAAATGAACTCATGGACCCACGTTGGCCTGTGATTTAACTGGAGTGAGGATTTGTTTGTGGATCAGTCGGGAGCCGGACTGGAGCCAACTAGAGTCACGATGATACAATGAGTCTGTATCCAGTGATGTAATGCTATTATTACAGCAAACACAACCGAATGACACAGAGAACGCAACAGGACCACTATATTTCATTTGAATGTGTAACTTTTCTGGTGCTGGAGCTTTTATTGCTTTGTCTGCAATGTTCCACAGCATGGTATTAAAGGGACAGTCCAGAATTTTGGACATAGGGCCTCATTTTCTTAGTGAGCCAGAGTGTTGGAGACATGCGGATACACTTTTTAAAATGTTCCATCCAGTCCTTGTATTTGCAGAGGTCAATGGTACTCAGCTAGTGCATGTCAACGACTTGAATCTATTAAAATAACTGGATAGAGTGTAGCTGCCTCCAGTTGACATAATGGTCACTCATCGGTACTTCAGTGGAAAAAATCTCCTGAGCTGCGAAAAGATTTTTCTCGGAGCGCAATCTAATCACAAACTGCTCAGGTTGGGCTGACAGGGCACCTACAACTTTCAAAAATATCGGATTTTGTGTAGATTTTTATCTACTTTTAGATCATGAAATTTTTCTCAGCTCAAAATCCTTTGGTTGTCTTAAAAATGTGGCCCAAATGTGACCCTCAGATCAACTTTTCTTGGCCTTCAGGCTTCCAGGTGACTTGACCCCCTAATACCTTGATCAGGGCTTTTTACAGAAACTATTTGGAAATCTACCTTGATAATAACTCGGTGAGGACTACCTTAGCTGGAGGATTTGACCTATCGTGCATGTTTTGGGTTGATGGGAGACCCTGGAGTGCTTTAAAGTATCAAAACATTACATGTGTGCAACAAGAAGATAAGAGACTAAGGCTAGTTCGGATTTTTTTGAGAAATCAGATTTTCTTTGCGAGCTCGTTCACATTTCCAATTAAATGCGACTTGTATGTGATCTCCAGTGTAAACTTTAAATGCCCCAAAAGTGTCCTGAATGTGCATTGGAGGGCACAACGATGTCACATGCAGCGAGTCGCCTAAACGCTGGGCTTGTCTCCCAAAATCCAGTCTAGTTCTTGGTAAAATGGACAGGTATTTGGCTCGCAGGCTCTTTTTTTTTGTTGACATTGGACCAGGACCGCCTGTAGCCTATTGGCCTGAATACAGCGATCCCCCCCAAATATTAATAAACTCACTAACCTCAGTTTCCCTCCATTGACGAGATTCCGAGCCTGACGTGTAGGTGGGATGAATGCGACCTGGCCGTTCAGATTCAAATCACATGTCAAAAGATCGGTTTAAGGAGCACATATCCAAGTGGCCGTTTGAAAAATGTTATCTGTGTCGTTCAGACTGTCAATAAAAGGTCAGATACAGGAGCATAGGGGTGAAAAAATCAGATTTGGGTCACTTCAGGCTACAGTCTTGATCGTAAACTAAAAGATACTTATGAGCTGCCCTTCTTTACTTGTTTAAAAAAGACTACACTGGTTAAGTCTCTCACAGTATTAATGAACGATTTGGACCTGATACACCAAGTAGGGCCTTTAGATCCAACCAACAACCTTCTTGTTGTGGCCTGAGTTCAGTCCAAATACACAATATTAAATCTGTACTTCAGCCAGGAGTGACCAAAATTACTTTCTGTTTCTGGTTCTGGTCATTTTTGTGGTGACGGCATGGTGTTTTGTTTTGTTTGTGTTGCATTTTTTTGTAGGAAATGTTCTCTATTAATATGATTTCTTTCTTCTCCTCAGGTTGTGACTCTGGGTTTGGTCGGGCCACAGCGAAGCGTCTGGACTCTCTTGGATTCGAGGTCTTTGCCACAGTCCTGGACCTGACCTCGGAGGGCTCCCAGGACCTGCTCCAGACCTGCTCCTCCAGACTCACCCTGCTGAAGGTGGACATCACACAGCCCCAGCAGATCCAGCAGGCCCTCGCAGACACCAGGGCTAAACTCGGACTCAGAGGTAAGACACAGATGCACATACAAAGAGCATACAGGATTTTTTTTAAACTAACATTAAGTCATAAGTCATTATAATTTAAGAGGCTTATATCATTAGTAAAAAAAAAAAAAAAATCAAGACGTGTTTCAGTTATTGGTGTAAATCAGGGGTCACCAGACTTTTTTTCTCTGGGGGCCACATTATCGCTCCTGACTGTGATGGGAGGTCGGGGTCGTGTCAGTACATGCTTTTGAGCAGCCAGTCCGCCTTTCATCCACCGAATCTTATCTTCTCTTGTTTGCCCTCGGACGCTTGCATACGTTTTCGTAATGATGACGCAGATTATATTCTTTGAAAACCACCACACTTTTTTTTTTTTTTTTTTTTTTACATATCAGACAAATTGCACGATCCTTAAACTGAACAAGAAAAATAATCGGTCGTCCACTGTTCTTTGAAAACTCTGCACTCCCTGTCAAGTTTTGTACTTTACACTCACCGTTTTGCTGTCTTTAACTGTGCTACAGAACTCTACTCGTGCTTTTACTGTCACTGTTTGATCTCGAGTTTGTCAGGTGACGAAAATTCAGCGGCAAATGTAAATATGTCATATAATAATTTAAATATAAATACTTCATATAAATGTGTCCCTGGTGTAAAGTTATGGAATGAACTAAAGATGAATTGAAATGTTTTTTTTTTTTAAGGTTTAAAAAATGTCTCAAACATAAAATTAAAATGAATGAAAACATAAAATGATTATCAAAATTATGTGTCAAATTTAGAGCTTTTGCCTATTACTAACCATTTGTGTTTTGCTTATGATGTGTTAGAGTAAAGCTGATTTAGTAGGATAGACAGTGCTTCAGCCTATTCCATTTTTTGGTTTAAAGGTGCACTATGCAACTTTTTGATAGGGCATATTTGATAGGATACGTCATCGCTCTGCCTGGAATGTTCCACAGTGTGACATTAAACAGCTCTACTTTACATTTATTCAATTACAGGTGGTTTTATTGCTCAAAAATACCAAGAAAAACTAACATTCTGACCGTGAGTGGGGTCGCCTCTCCACAGATCTGACCTGTAACTTGATCTGGTTTGGTCTCCATGAAGATAGAAAGGTTTAATGCCGTACTGTGAAACATTCCAAACAAAGCAATAACATCTCCATGCAGAAAAGGATTTGATGGACCTTCCACCGGAAAAGTTACACAATGCACCTTTAAAAATAAAAGCTTAGAGGCTGTGAATTATGTAAATTACTGAAAAATATGAATAAAAAAAAAACACATACTGTCCATTTCATTTTGTGGTGGTTTCAGATAACATAACACAGCACTCACTCACTGCAAGAAGGTTCAGGTTAAAAAAAAAAAAAAAAAACATGCACCATAGGTCATGGATTCGTCATCAGTTGCTAGGTTTCAAGTAACATTTATTCTTATTTATCTTACTTTTTAATAGCTTTTTTTTATCATTTTATGGTTTTGCTCTGATTGGATTTTATTATATTTTATGATTATATTACTATATTGTTTTATGATTGGTATGATCAGAGTTTTAGCAATTACTATACTGTTGTTTTCTTTTTATGATCTTGGCACAGCTCTTTGGAAACGGCCTTAGAAATACAGTGGATTTGGACATCACAGCTTCTATATTCATCTATAGGTCAATAATCTTTAACACAGATGGGGCCACGGCTAAAATGAAGGCTGTTAAAATGCCGGTTTGTTGTTACAGTGGTCCCTCGTTTATCGTGGAGGTTACGTTCTAAAAATAACCCGCGATAGGTGAAATCCGCGAAGTAGTCAGCTTTATATTTTACAATTATTATATCTGTTTTAAGGCTGTAAAACCCCTCACCACACACATTATACACTTTTCTCACACAGGACAGTTACAACCCTTTTTACATCCTTCTTAAAACTTAATGCTGCTGTCATCCTTTTGTTATTTTCATCCTTTATGAAACAAAGCGAAGATTCATTTATTCCGTAATGGAGACCTACAGCGCAGAGTCCTGCATGGGTTCATTTTTGGAGACCCGCTCCACAGCAGCACCACACCTGCCTGCACTCACTTGTTAAACTGAAATTATATCAAACCTTTGCGCTGCATACACCATAGACTGAACCAAGAGTAAACCAGGACTAACCCAGAACTGATTCCAGGACTGAAATAGGACTAAAACGGGACTAAAATGGGACTAAACCAGGACTAAGCCAGAACTGGAACAGGACTCACTGTCGGCACAGGCCTGGAGGTGACCACAGGAGAAAGGACCAGTGCAGAGCTCCACACTTCACAGAGGTAAGCGCGGCCATCGTCCGATCAAGATTAGTAGTCCAGGTTTAGTCCTGGTTTAGTTCTGGTTTAGTCTTTAGTTTAGTCCTGACCCACCCGTGTGTAATCACTAACCGCCCGCATACCCGCCCGTAAAATTCCAGAACATTAAAATCCGCCAGTTTCAGCAACTGTTTGCCCGTACCCGACCCAGTGCAGGACTCTGCTGCAGCCGCATAAATTCTACCTTCCTTCAGCGTGTCCAGAAGTCCAACTTTTTGTGCGGTGGTTTGTATCTTCCTCGGCCGTTAGGGTGCGACCGCAGGAGACTTTGTCGGTGCAGAACGTTTCGTCAACATTGTGGGTTTTGTCGGGAGAAAACTTACAAACATACAGCGCTTCAGAATCACACTGCTAGAGATCCAACATTTATGTAAATTTGTCAAGCTGAACACATTCTGTACTGTACAGGAGAAACGGCATGGAGGACTCTGACTGACAATGGCCTACAGTCCCTCCCTTAGCCAATCAGGACGCAGGGGGAGGAACACAATGTGTGTTCATACACTGTAAAAAAGGGATGCAAAACTGCACAAAAAAAATCCGCGCAACAGCAAGACCGCGAAAGGTGAACCACGATATAGCGAGGGACGACTGTATATAGTAAGTTATAGATAGATATTACTAATAGAAATAATCAGATTCAAGGTTTTTTAGAAGACAAAGAAGACTGAAATTTGTAGTTCAGTTTTTGGTTCATGTGGAGAGACTGAATAATCATAATACCTGGGTTTTGAGAAGTTTAAAGATCTATTTTAGTGCACAGTTCTGTCCTCCAGCTCTAATTTAAACTATGAGCATTCTTACATGTTATTTTTACGATGCATGAACCTGTTAAAGGGAGATTATATTTTAACACACACAACATAATCTGCGCTGGATTCATTTTTCACTCCGGGGTAACGTGTTGGTGTTGCCATTTAAAACTCTGTGTTTGGTGATTCGATCCCGCTTCATTGCATACTGTTCTTGTGCCCTTGGGCAACACACTTCTTCACTCATCTTTCACCCAGAAAGGCCACTGGCAGAGACCGGCGGCCACGTTCCTGTCTGTTCGCCCCGGGGCAGCTGTGGCATTTCTGAATGAAGTGTTCCTGTGTGCTATGTTCGCCGGTCTGTTTACACGAAAAGTGTTTAATCACGGGGATGGAGAGAGAGGCCAGATCGTAACCTGAGAGAGAGAAAGAGAGAAGAAGGAGGGAGACGGAGGACAAGGGGGCATGAGAGGGGAGGAGAGAGGATAGAGGGACGGAGAGATAGATACAGTGAGGTAAGAGTGGACAGAGAGGAGATAAAGAGAGAAAGAGTGAAGGAGAGAGATAAATTTAAAATAATTTACCATTGGATTTGTCTAGATCAGGGGTGTCAAACTCAAATTTCCAGAGGGCCAAAATTAAAAACTGAGACTAAGTCGTGGGCCAAACTAAATTATTATTGAAAGATATGTAATGTTAAACCATTTCTTATTAAAATAAATGTTTAGTTTTGCTTAAACACTGAATCCAGAACAAGCATAATATTAAATAATAACACAATTTTAAATAAATAATGTCTCTATAGTCTATCTGTAGCCAGCGGGGCAGCTCTAATACATATTTGATAAGATCTCGCGGGCTAAATATAATTACATCGCGGGCTAAATTTGGCCCCTGGGCCTGAGTCTGACATGTTTGGTCTAGAACTTTTAGAGCGCTTGACATTGCATTAGTCATTCGGTTCATACTTAATGAAAAAAGGGTGCCAATCTGTACCCACTGACCTACGATGATTCATCAGACGGTTTCACTTCGTAGAAACCGTCTGATCTCTCAGTGTTAGAATTCGTTCACTCGACGGTAGGCGGGTACTTTTTTTCATTTAACCAATCTGCTATTTGGCCGTGTAATGTAAGGCCTAACGGGCTTTTCCCAAATTCAATAACCTTGATAAAATTCACCAAACATTCTCTTTGTTCCGGCTTTAAATCCTCGATCTCGGGAATTGTTGCAACACAGAATGTATGGCTCTTCGGTGCTTGGCTGGTGCTCGAACTCGCACTTCCAGGATTTTTGCGAACCGTCTAGTGCAGGAGTATCAAACTCATTTTGGTCTGGGGGCCGTATCCAACCTACTTTCATCCACAGGGGCCGGATCAGAAAACTCATAGCATATAAACCCCAAAAACAATAAGTTCAAATATTTGTGCAGAGAAACACAAATCTATTACAGAAATCTTTTTTTTTTTTTTTTATTGATGAACTCTTTCTTTTACAAAATATTTACATAATATTATGAACAACCTGAAACTTGAAGAAATTTCAACACAATGTTTTAACATTGAACTTGTATGCAAATAGGAATAAGTCAATTTTTCTTGGAAAATCCTGCACTCGGCTCCACTTTTCTCCTTATGTTTGACACCTGTGGTCTAGTATATTCTGATTCCTGACCTAGTCACGGTAGAGAAATGAACTGACCCCTACAGCCACCACCATCACTCACACACACGTCTTTCATTCGAGACAATATTGGTGAAGTGAACACAACAATCATTTTTGTGACAGCCTTCTCACTGTGGCTCCTGATTTTCCCAGTCGACTCCCATCCAAATTCTAACCAGGCCCAACTTTGTTTAGCTTCTGAAATGAGAAGCTAAAGAAATGAGAAGCTGAGAAAGAGACAGAGTGAAGTGA